AAATAAGCCGTCGGGGGCCAACAAAATCGTGTAACAGTCACGAGAAGGGCCCGGGGAAACACGTCAAACACACCCGGGAGACGACGTAAGCTGTGAAAACTTACGGAACTAGCACCGGGACTCCCGTTTGGAAACTAACTCCGAAACGCGCACTTTTCTCGCACCTAAGCTTGAAAATAGTGCATCGGGTGGCCAAAATCGGGTGCAGCCAAGAGAAGGTCCGGGAACACCTCAAAACACCTAGGATGGACAAACGTGGGTTGTGGAAACTAACGAAACTCGCATGGACTCCCGGTTTGGAAACTTAGTCAAAAAATGCACGTTCCTTAAACACTTAAGTTTTAAAATAGGCCATCGGGCGAAAAAAATTCCTGTACCAGTCCCGAGAAGGCCCTTGGAACACCTCCAAACCCACCTCGAAGAAACCAAAGTAAGTTGTGGAAACTAGCGCGCGACTTCCGGTTTGAAAACTAGGTCGGAAAAAGGTACTCTCTTCACAACGAAGCTTGAAAACAGGCCTCGGCGGGCTGGAATCTGTAACAATCACGAGAAGGCCCGGCGGAACACCCCAACATCTCAGGAGGGACCAATTTGAGCCGTTGAAAACATAACGAACAGGCACGGGACTCCCGATTTGAAAACTAGGTCCGGAAAGCCACTTTTCTAACACTTAAGCTTGGAAGTAGAGCCATCGGGGGCCCAAAATCATGTAACGTCGCAACAAGGGCCGGGAACCCTCAAACACCTCGGGAGTGACAGACGCGAGTCGTGAAAGCTTACGGAACTAGCACGGGGACTCCCGGTTTGAAAACTAAGTGGAAAGGGACAGTTTTTCCACGCTTAGGCTTGAAATAGACCACCGGGGGGAGGCCAAAAACGATGTCACAGTCGCGAGAAGGACGCAGAAATCCCAAAACACCCCGGGAGGGTCCAAGAGTGCTGCGGAGACTTACGAACTAGCACGGACTCTCGGCTTGAGAACTAAAATCAAAAAATGCACTTTTTTTCACACTTAAGCTCGAAAAATAAGCCTGTCGGGGGCCAAAATCGTTAACAGTCACGAGAAGGCCCGGGGAACACGTCACACACCCCGGGAGGGACCGACGTAAGTTGTGAAAACTTACGAACTAGCACGAGGACTCCCGGTTTGGAAACTAACTCCGAAACGGCACTTTTCTCTCACCTAAGCTTTGAAAATAGTGCATCGGGTGGGCCAAATCGGGGACAGCCAAGAGAAGGTCCGGAAAACCACCTCAAAACACCTAGGGATGGACAAACGTGGGTGTGGAAACTAACGAAACTCGCATGGGACTCCCCGGTTTTTGAAACTTTCGTCAAAAAATGCACTTCCTAAACACTTAAGTTTAAAAATAGGCCATCGGGGCGCCAACAAAATCCTGTACCAGTCCGAGAAGCCCGTGGAACACCTCCAACACCTCGAGAGAAACCAAAGTAAGTTGTGGAAACTAGCGCGCGGACTCTCCGGTTTGAAAACTAGGTCGGAAAGGTACTCTTTTTCACAACGAAGCTGGAAAAACAGGCCTCGCGGCGACTGAATCGTGTAAACCAATCACGAGAAGCCCGCGGGAAAAACACCCGAACATCTCAGAAAGGACAATTTGAGCCGTGAAAAAACATAACGAACAGGCAGTGGGACTCCCGATTGAAAAACTAGCGTCGGGGAAAGCACACTTTTCTACACTTAAGCTTGGAAGTAGGCCATCGGGGCTAAAACATGTAACAAGTCGGCAACCAAGGGCCGGAGCCAACCTCAAACACCTGACGGGATGCAGACGCGAGCTTGTGAAAGCTTACGGAACTAGCACGGGACTCCTCGGTTTTAATAACTAATTGGTGGAAAGGGATAGTTTGTTCCAACGCTTAGGCTTGAAATAGGACCAACCGGGGGGCCCAAGAAAGTTGCTCAAACAAGTCGCGAGGAAGGACCAGAAATTGCCCAAAACAACACCTCGGAGGATCCAAAGTAAGCTTCGAGACTTACGAAACTAGCACGGGGACTCTCGGCTTGAGAACTAAATCAAAAAAATGCACTTTTTCACACTTCAAAGCCTTGAAAATAAAAGCCGTCCGGGGGCCAAAAAATGTTTAACTATCCGAGGGAACGGGCCGGGAAAACACGTTCACAAACCACCCCGGGAGGACCGACGTAAGTTGTGAAAAACTTACGGAACTAGCACGGACTCCCGCGTTTTGGAAAAACTAAGGTTTTTCCTAAAAACCGGCCAACATTTTTCTCGGCAACCTAAAAATCCCTTTGAAAAAAATAGTTGGCCCATTCGGGGGGCAAAAAAAAAAATCGGGAAAAAAATCCCTCTTCTTTTTTTTCCCCTTTTTTATTTTTATAGGACCCCGGTCTTTTTCCCATTTGATTATTGTATCCGGACTTAGGTTCCGTATATTCTGTCATTGTATAATTGTTGTTGTCGTCCTTTATTTTCTCATTTGGAGTTATAGGATGTGTTGGGCAGGTTTGTTTCAGGTTGGTTGGGTTCGGAAACCAAGTGTTGCTGTCCAGTTTTTGGGTTGGTCGCTCGAGCGAGGACTTGGCCGCTCGAGCGAGGGTTATATTTTGTGTCTGGTGGCTCGAGCCAGCTTTTCTTCGCTCGAGCGAGCGATTGCGTTTAGTATAGACCTGAAGCATTGCATTCTTGGATCGAGCGAGATTTTCTTCGCTCGAGTGAGGATTTCTTGTGTCTTGTCGCTCGAGCGACTAATCCTTCGCTCGAGCGAGCCTGTTTTATTTAAATACGCAGCAGCGGTTTTAAACATCTTTTTTCATCCTCTTTTGTTTTAAAAACCCTAGGTCCGTGTTCTCTCTCCCTCCACTCACCTTCTCTCTTAGGTTTCATCTATTTTTAGGGTGTTTCTACCCTAGGTTCTTTGTTAAAAAGATAGAGGGTCGCGAGGGCTTTGTTTTAATCTGAAAGTTTGGCAGTTTGGAGCACTTTGGGTTTTGGGTCATCATCTCCATTTGAGTTCTTCATTTCGAGGTAGGGATACCCTACTCCATACTATAGGTTTTGTCCTAAGTTTTGGTCATTTTGATATGTTGGTGTTGTTCGGTAATTTTGGGAAAAGCTAGGGTTTGATTTATAATTTAAAAAGCTCTAATTGTTGAAATAAATTAATTCGTATAATTAATTTTGGGAAAATGGGGAATTTAGTTTAATTCATGAAATTGGGAAATCATGAGATTAAATGGTGTAGTTGGATAATCTAATTACTCACCTATGAAAACGTTGAGTTTATATTTGTTGATACATTTATTTCCTGTTTAGAAATAACTGTTTTGAGCTATCAGTAGAGGATAGTCGTGATTGTTGTAGACATTGCATGCTGATTAGGGAAAACTGAAACTAATCACATTGAATAAGTCATTGAATATGACGGTTGAATTAATACAACAAATACGTGTATTGATTGAATATTGTGTATGACAATTGTTTAATACATTGTATATACATATTGTTTGGGAGGAGATAGGGGATGTACTCCATGGTTTGAGGGAAGATAGGGGATGGACTCTCAAACCTGTTTAGGAGGAGAAAGGGGATGGACTCCATTAGTACAGCAAATATGTGTACTTATTGATTTATGGAAGTGTTTTCGTATGAGCCTTAGTCTCATTTGAATTGTTGATATTGAAAGTAATGTTTAATGTGGGATGTAGTCTCATTTTATAGTTTGGCCAGGTTCTGAGCCATTTCTGTATAAATGGAAAGTTGAATAATAACGGAAAGTGAAACATGTCATGGACATTAGTGTCATGAAACTGTATAGTGATATAATGGATTTATAAGTGTTAACCATCTATTGAATGCTATTGCTTTAGTCAATTCCTATATTTGGTTTAGTATATTTCTGCTGGGCTGTGGCTCACCCTATACGGGAACATCATTTTCAGGTCCAGGTGATATGCAACCTCCAAGGACTTAGCTTGGAAGGATTTAGATTTGAAGACTTGTTTTAGTTAGTTGTTATTTGATATTACATGTAAACTCAAGCCAAGGGCTTAATTTGTAGTTGAGTTAGTACTCACATTTTGTGTCCAAGTGTTGGCTTGGAAAGCTGTAAGCCCATAGGGCATTTACTTTGATGTTACATGTGATATTTTTCAATAAGAATACTCTGATGAATGGAATAATGTTTTGTTTTCTTATATCAATGCATGTCAATATTGTGTATAATGTGGGTTTATTTTGAGGACGTTACAGCTATAAGTTAGAAATTGTGAAGATTAGAGGTAATACGTGAGTATTTTGGATTGAAATAAGCCCCGTTTAGGAATAGGCTATTTTAGTTGGCTATTTGACATTTTATGAAAAGACATGCAAAAAAGTAGGGAGTGATGTGATGGGATGTCTTTTTTAATTAGCTATTTTAATTTGGGATGGGCTAGTTTAACCCTTCCCAAACAATGTGTTTAAATGTAGATTATTTTTGTATCCCTTGTTATTAGCTATAAGATTGTCTTGTATCGTTGGTATACATATTGTGAATCCCTTATATTGATATTTCGTTTAGCTATAGGTGTGGTGTGGTGTGGTGAGAATTTGTGGTGTTGATATGTTGGTCTAGTATTATCATTGGATTTAATTTGGGTGCATTTGATCTTAGGTGGTTAGTGGTGGTCCTAATTAAGAGGTATTTAGTTTTGTTTGATGGAAGGTGATTCTTTATTTTAATTTTTATTCCATCGTGTTTTGTGATGACATTATCTTAGAAGTAGTTATTTGGCTGATCTCTTGTTGGGGGGTAAGTTGGTATGAGTCACTTTTATCATTTAGTTACACTATAGGAAATATCAGTTTTTGAGGCATATTTTTAACGGTATTTTTTAAAACGCCACTATTTGTAATATTTAACAGCGTTTTATAAACGTTGTATTTTTTTCTAATCAAAACGGCGCCATTTTATGAATAGAGACGTTTATAAACGTCTTGAAATGGTTTTGTCCCACACGCTCCCTCTCCCTGTTTCACCTTTATTTTGAATCTGACTCTCACTCTCGCTCTCACTCACGCTCACACTCACATTCGCGCTCGCTCTCGCTCTCAAAATCGAAATCGATTCAAATCGGTGAGTGTTCATCAGAGCCATTTCAAAGTTCGAAGTTCATCAGAGCCATTTCCAAGATCTTACATCGGTGATTCATCAGAGCCATTTCGAAGCTCTCTCTCAAAATCGATTCAGATCGGTGAATCGATTCAGATCGGTGAGCGACTCTCTCTCTCTCTCTCTCTCTCTCTGCTGTCTAAACCCTAATTATCTCTGTCAGTTTAGCTCTGTGATTCAGAGATTCAGCTCGGTCTCAGCGAAACAGATCGATGATTCATCAGAGCCATTTCAGTTCTCTCTCGAAATCGAATTTCATCTCAGCGATTCAGATTGGTGAGCTCCATTGTTTCTGCCTCTAACTGTCTCTCTCTCTCTCTCAAGCTGAACTGATATTTGAATCATGTCACATGTCCTGTTGAATCAAGCTGAACTGATATTTGAATTAATCTGATATGATATTTGAATCATGTTACATGTCCTGTTAAATCAAGCTGAACTGATATTTGAATTAATCTGATATGATATTTGAATTAATCTAAACTGATATTTGATTCTGACCTGAATATAAATATATATGTATATATATAGCTGAAGTCATTCTTGTACAACTATTTGGAATAAATTAATTTGGGTTCATATATTGGGAACACTGCTAATTACTTTAATAATGCTCTGCTAATTTCTCTAGTTCAATCATGGTAGCAAGAACACTCTGCTAATTACTTTAATAATGCTCATGACCTTAGTCAATTAAAGTCAAGATGAAATGATTCATAATTTCTACATTAACCCATTGCACTGCTAGAGGTCTCTAGAACTCAATTTTAACCATCTTTTGGTGCATACAGGGTTATGCCCTGCTCAGTTCTAGGTTCAACTGGATGTTCTTGGACATGCCTTCTTTGCCCCATTTCCAGTATCAAGAGGGAGAGAAATAAGTGTACTTACTACACTAAGAACATCTACTGACAAACTGAAGAATGTTATGCTTTTCTTGTAATGTGTGTGTGTGTGTGTTTTGGGTTAGTAAAGTTTTCCAACTACTTATTGTCTTTTGTTGATTTTGTCAGAGACTTGAGGTTCTTGTTTAAGCTTAGTTTTGTGTGGCAACCATATACTCTGATGTATATAGGTTATGTGCATATAGTGGTTTTTTTACTTACAAGTTACAACCAAAAAACCATAAACCTATCTTCCTAATTAGAAAGATAAGACTAATAGTCGCAGCAATTATAATTTTAAAGCAAACAACAAGATATGTAAAAGGAATGTTACATCATCCCATTTTCAGTCAATAAAGGAAATTGATGCAGAACAGCTATAAAAAAACTGTGTCAAATTGCTTGGCTAGACAGTAGAAAACCACATTTCCAAAATTAAATTGTAATTCCAATTTTAGCATTTATACATTTTAAGTTTACGTTCCAATAGTATGGTAAACTTACTTGAGAAGCAAACGATAACAAATAGAAATATTTTTAGTATGAAATGCCAAATCAATGAAAGATCAGCAGTGCTCAACCATATGAAGTAATTCTAAGACTAGAAAAATAGAGCATTGTGTCAATAAATAAAAAAGTAGTAGTATCATCTTTCTAGAACATCATAGCATAAATTCAAGAGAATTAATTTACCGCATTTCGATAATTCTGATAGAGTTCTCCATTGCCTGAGCAACATTTGAAGGAATACTTCCAGCTTCTACTTCCTTCTTTATTCCGGAAAGCAGATCTATAAAAAAATGAATGCTAACCCCACATAAGGCAACAACAGATCAACTAATATGATTCCTCAACTAATATGATTGTGATTGTGATTGTGATTGTGATTGTGATTGTGATTGTGATTCCTCAACTAATTTTAACCATCTTTACTCCGGGCAGTCTTTCTACCACATCACGTAGCGGTAGCACATCACATGGCTCTGTTTCAGCTGGTACGTATAATTTTTGAAAGCTCTATCCAAACACATAGCTCAAATATGAATTGCTGCTTTGTTACCATGTCATCTTAATTGATAGTCACATCTAGATGTCATTTCATCATTTTGTATCAATATTTAGTTCCTTGGATGTAAGACCTACCTCAATGTTTAGTTTTTAACTTAAATTATATATCCAAGGCAACCATTGTTGTGGATAGGTGGCCTCTATGGCATGCTATCTAGCATGAAAATGATAGTTTGCTACAATATGTGAAAATGATCATATTACCTAGAGTTAAATGCCTAAATCCATGTTGTCTTAATTGATCGCCTTAGCTTATGAATATCATCGTGTTCCCTCAATATCTTGAGGTAGGACTTCAGATAGTGTGTTTGGTTTTATTTTTCTGAATTTAATTACTTTTTCATTGGGGTGGAATGTTTTTCTTCTTCTGTTTAATGGAAACATAGCAGATGGCCCAGTGGTTGGGCCCCTAACATGCTACATAGGGTTAAATACCCCTACGTTTCATTTTAGTCTTTCCTATTTCAATTGTGTCGGTTTCATTTTCAACTTGTTTAATTTGTGTTTAAATGATGTCCAAGTCAATTTCTGTCCAGATTCAGAGAGCATTCATTTTCACATCATGTTTTGTAGGTCCTAGCTCAAGTCAAGCCACACAAAAGCAGACAAGGGGTCCCACATATATGCATGGTCAATGGGGTACTAGTGAAGATGGCGTTTTAAAAGTTGTTTAAAATGAGTTGAATCAAGTAGTTGAAGGATACACATCTCTTGCTTCACATTTGGACGTTTTGGCACGAGATGGGAGTCTTGCACCACTTACTTTTACGACTTGGCATTATGTCCCAAAACAAAACAAAGATAACATATGGAGGGAGATAAAGGTATGTGCTTGATTTGCTTCTTGTCTCAACTTTTTGGCAATTTGATTGGTGTAATTTGGTCGTTTTGAGCTTTGTAACTCGTCGTTTGCTCCTCTTTTCTCTGTGCTTTTTTGGAGATTTGAGAGCGTTGTGTTCTTATGGTCAAATCCAAAACTCCATTGTGTTACTTTTGCTATGAATATATCTATTGAGTGAAACCAGTTTTCCCTGTAAAATAAATAGATAAATAAGGAGTTACTCTATATTATTGGGAACATGTAGAGCTGAGAAACAAGAACCACTCAACTGAACCTGACATGTAAAACATGTACTTGGAGGTCATGTAAAACATGTACATCTTGTGTTAATAATAAACCCAATATATAATCACCAATGACAGTTTACTGGAACATATAGCCTCTGATGTTGCCTGATGAAAATGTTAGAAAAAGCCTTCAGTAAAGCTAATAAATATCTCTTATACAGGTAAATATTTTTTATCTACTTTCCACCTTTTCAGGCTGTTATATGTTTATGTTATACACAGTGCCTAAAACGACAAAGCTTTATTGTGGTTTCAAATATATGCTGTACTGATTCCTGTAATATTTTTTATTTTTACTCATTCCACATAGGCTGCTGACTTGGCTCCACAACCAGCCTCAAGATATAAAATCGTGTATATCATTCTTTGAGTCGGCAAGTCTTGTGTGTCCATTATATGTTATTTTTTATTTTTATTTTTATTTTTATATATTGTTTGTTATTTGCACCCAAGCAGAGCTGATCTTAGATTTAGTAGGTGTGGGGGAGTGGCTATAAAACAATGTGTCCTCCTTTGCATAGTTGTTGCCTTTACTCTCTTAAATCAATTGGGCTAATGATGGCTTGTTGTTATGCTTGTATAAATAAACAACAATGTTAGGTGGATCTTTTTTTGGATGTGATTCACATTACATTAAATTTGAATCTATACTTTACATTTCAATTTTGATAATTGTTTTAGCTATTTTTCAGAGTTTGTAGCTTTTTGCTAATGGCTGTTGCCTTTACTCTCTTAAATCAATCGGGCTAATGATGGCTTGTTATTATGCTCGTATAAATAAACAACAATGTTAGGCGGATCTTTTTTTGAATGTGATTCACATTGCATTAAATTTGAATCTATACTTTACATTTCAATTTTGATAATTGTTTTATATATTTTTCATAGTTGTAGCTTTTTTGTAATGACAGTTGTGTGTCAATTTATTTACGGTCTCATTTGTCATCATTGTGTTGGTTTAAAGAACTTTACTATCATTCATCCCACTAATTTGGGAGCACTAATGGACCACTAATGAGGTGGAAATTTAAAAAAAAAAACAAAAGAGCAAAACATCCCATCAAGTGGGACCCACACCACTTTAGAGCTATTAATGGTCTTCTTTTTAGTGGTCTCACTCATTTTTGGTCATATATTTCGATTACAACGGTGTAATATTTATATATTTGTTTCTATGCATCTTGTTATTTATTCAAATCATTTTATTATGATGGTTGGATGTTGTCTGTCTGTATAAAATATCAATTGTAGGTGGCAGCTCAACTGGTTAATTTTTCGAACTAAAAAGCCTATCAGTGTTCCCTATCAAAAAGACTGTTCTCTCTCTCTCTCTCTCTCTCTCTCTCCATACGCATTGCTCAGTGATCCACTAAGCCCAGGTGACTTACGGGTTTGCTTTACTTTTTCTTGTATTTTATCTCCTAATTTCCATTCGGTGTGGTTAGTCTTCACGATTAATGATTTGTGTCTCTTACCTTCCATTTTTGTTGCAGATTCAATGGGTACAAGTGAAAGAAATTGAAAATCTTTAAAATCTGTAGGTTTAGGAAGATTTGAATTTTCTCTCTTTTTCCGGCCTTTTCTCAACAACGAGACAGAGGTTACATATTACCGGGGAATTAGTGTTCGCAATATGTTCTGGTTTCTTTGTCAATTGAATGTGGGTCTCTTGATTTCAATTATCATGTTTTGTTTTGTGGGTTTTTCTGAAACCTGTGGGTGTGTTGCAGTTTTTATTTGAAATGTGTGGGCCTCTGCAAACTTTGAACTCAGAAGGCACCATTCCAATTTATAGCATTCTAGTGTAGAATATAATTTATGGGGATGAGCATTTATAAAATATGCCATATTTTTTTTGTACACAGTCAATTTTAAGTTTACTTGGAATGGCAAAATCCATTTCAAAACATAATTTTTATGATGCTTGAGGATTTAATTTTATTATATTTTTATTTTGGTGAATCTGATTGCAGTTTATGTTCTGATGCGGGCGTGTAGACCAGTGTTGACCACAACTTTTATACTAAAACATGATTTTTGGATATATGTTAGTTTGTGGTTAATGTTAAAACATGATTTTTGGATTTTGGATATGTTATTTTGTGGGTAATGGTGATTGGATATTAATTAAATGAGAAACTAAATTAATGCTTCATTTGTTATTTGAATGGAGTTATTATTTTATATGTTAGTTTTATTATAGGTATTTGAATGGGAGGTAATATTTTATATGTCATTTTTATTACAGATATTTTTAATTCAATTAAATAAAATTAGCACAATTTTTTTTTTTTTTTTTTTTTAAAAAAAGAGAGATATCCTAAACCATAACACTAACGGTCATATTTTTAAAAACAGATACGACGGCGTTTACAAAACATTGCTAAATATCGGCGGTGACGTCGGCATGTGCATAGTAGGACATTTTGCGGCGTTTTTTGAAACGCCTCCTATACTCATATCACGATGTTTTTAAAACGTCATAAAGCTACAGCGACAGCTGCATCTTCGACGCTTGGTACTAAATGCCCCAAAAGGAATTAGCGGCGTTTTTGATAAATATAGCGGCATTTTTTAAACGCCACTAAAAGTCCAATTTCCAGCAATGGTAGTCTTGAAACAAAAAAGAAAAAAAAAATGTTTTGAAATATCCGTTGTCGACGTAAGATTTCTTAGAATGAATGGATGGCATTATAGCTCGTGGTCGTATTTTTTTTTTTTTAATTTGTTTATTTATTTATTTTTTGAGTTTGGGTAAAGATGACTTGACTATAGATTTTAGGTGGGATTTTGAAGTGACTACAAGAACATGATTATTCATTGGCATACCCTTCTGTCTTATTTCGTTGCCTTTTCGTGATTGGTTTGAATGGCAATTGGCACCTTTTTCTTGTGACACGAGTAGTTGTAAGAATTAGGTTATGTTTTCCTTGCGTTTTAGTTAGTTGGGGTAGATTAGTTTCTAAGTTGTTTAATACTCTTACAGCTGTTTCCTTGTGATTGTTCTAGATACTTCTAAGATGAGAGGTAAAATTTTTAGTTAGTTGGTCTTGGGAGTGATATTAATATTTATCATTGGGTGAGTTTGTATTATGGGAGTTGTTGAATTTAAGTTTAATCTTGTGGATCATCATAATATTAGTATAGTGTGGAGTCGTGTTGCAAATTTGGAGTTAGTGGCATGGCATTGGTTTCAATGAATGAGAGTGGCTTTGAGTTAACTTTTTCATGGGGAGTACCTTAGTGCAGTTAGGAAGTGTACCTAGTCGTGACGAGTTCTATGTGAACTTAAAATAGTATTGTGAGAGCTTTTGGGTAAATTATATGTTAGAATAAGATCATTTCGGTGGATAGTGCTATATGAATTTGTAATTTTAGCATTTTGTTGTGTAGCTGATTTTATTTCCTGAATGAAGCATGTATTGGCTTAAGAGTCTTGACTTGATTTAAAAACATATGTTGAAAGAGAGAGTTATATGGTTCAATTAGTGCATGGTTGGGAGGAGGTAGAACCTTAGGATGGTATGAGATTAATCTGAGTACTTAGAAGATTGTGAAAGTGCTTGGAAGGGGTGTGAGGGTTGTGTTTTGTAATGACGAGGAAGTGGGTAAAGTTTGCCGAGAGATGGTAGTCATGTGTGGGTGCAAAGGAGTATGGAATTTAAGTAGTGAGCGTCATGATCGAGAGTTGTGTGGAGTTTATGAATGTGAAGGGAACTTAGTGGTTGGGTACTAAAAGTGTTTCTTGGGAGGAAATATGGACTGTGTTTTGATTGATGGGTGGTCGGATGGTTGATATTTGGATTGGGTGACAAATAGTCACTTTAGCGGTTTGGCGCTGAGCTGTGAGATTTGGTTTTAGGGAGTCCAACTTGGACTCAGGTATGAAGTGGGTGTGTGTTGAAACCTGGATAGGGGTGATACGTGTTGGTTAGCCTGTCGATGTGGATTAAGTCATGTAGAGCAGATGGATCCTTGTGGCCGATCACATTTAATGGACTCAAGACTTGGTTTGATTTGGTTTGGTTGCTTGGTTTGGTTTGGAATCGGTGGTCTGGATGCGTGGTATTCGAAGTTTATTGACATATAGTCATCTTGGAAATTGATTCGGTTTGAGTAAAAAGTGGTACGGTTGGGTGGTACTTAGGTAGTACTGGAGGGCATTGAGCTTCGCTTGTGTGTGTATGTTGTTGATATGAACCTGTGAAATGACTCAAATTGAATCAAAGTGTTTGAATGTAGATTATTGTAATCGCACTTGTGCCAATGTGTACTATCGATTGTTAGTGATGATGTTTGTAGTGATTGGGAACTTCCAACTCTCGGGAAGTTGTATGTGCTCTGTTATGCCTCGAATGCACTGTTATTATTGTTTCTATTCATTGTTATTACAGATGTGTGTGGTAAATGGGTTGTAACATCACCGGGTGAGTGGTGGAGGTTGTTGGGTGATGGTTGGGATTCACCGAATGAATGTTGAGAATGGTTTGGAAAATGAAAATTTCTTTTCCTTGTGTTGTGGCCTAAGATGGCATAGTTAAATTAATGTGGAAGATCTAATCTAAGTGGGAATATATATAAAAATGAAAAGATTTTCAAGAGGAATGGAGAATTTTGTTTACAAAATTGCGACTGTTCATTGTTCTATCTCTTATAATGGGGTTGTATGGAAACTTGGGTTGAATTGCTTGTTGTGTATGTGTATATATATATATTGGCATATTTATTTTGAGGAAATATAATGCGATTGCAATTGTTATATCAATTTGTGTTTTGGGCAGTGAGTATGGGGCGTCTTTTCTTTCGTAAGTGTTGTCCGGGTATTGTTTTATGGTGGTTTCCTTTCCCTTCGACATTGGGATTTGGTCTCTCCTGGTCATCTTTGTGCGGTGTTGTCATTAGGGGAGTAGAATGGTTGGTGTTGTTCCTTGTCTCTTGGATTTTGATGAGTGTACTGATAAATTATGATCTCTTTCTCGTGCTTCTTCTTGTTTGGGTGTCTTTGGGGCGCTAAGGTTTTGAGTCTGAATTCGAGAATTTATATCGAGTGTGAGTCTAGCTTTTGATTGGTAGTGATGTCTTGCCCCCAGGATTGAATAGCTTCTATTTCGACTCTGATTTTATTTTGGGAATATATCCCAAGTGTATTAAGTCAGAGGTAGTGTTTCTGCCTGTATTGGATTGTCCTTTTGTTTCAATCCTTTAATTTCGGGGATGAAATTTCTTAAGGTGGGGAGGTTGTAGCACTCCAGAATTTCTTTTCTTTTTCTCGTCACTCGAGCAAAGGAATGTTTGCCCGAGTGGTCTCGCGAAGCTCCCAGTATTTTTGCAGGTCTGCCTGAGATTCTGTGAGTTGTCGATGTCCGCTTGAGCGCATGAGCAGTTGCTCGAGTGGTCTGTCTTGTTGAATCTGAACTTCTGGGAATCTGTGTTCTTTGCTCGAGCGAAGGATTGGTCACTCGAGCGAAGTGTCCGAATTCAGTATGTTTAAAAGTCACTTTTTGATCCACTTTTCTTCATTCTCTCTTGTTCTTTCTCTCTCGTCTGACCCTTTTCCACCATTGTTGTGGGTTTAAAACTTTCAAGCTTGGTTTTCATCTTTGGTACCTGCTAGTTATATCAAAATCCCAATCTCGAGTAGAGTGCTTTACTTGAGGTCAGGAGATCTTTAAATAAGTTGGTACAAGGCATGTCATTTTTCATATGTCCTCAAATCTTCTTATTGTTGATTTTCCAGAATGAAAGCTAGTTTTTTCCTGCTTACATCTATCATTGGTGACTTGTTTTCTTCCTTTATTCATGCAATTCACAGTCAAGGAGAACCCAGATCAGTGAAAGAATGAGGAAACTACAAGAGCTTGTTCCAAACATGGACAAGGTAGGAAGGATAACAACAATGCACACACTTCATCCTATGGTCATAAAACTCACGATCTTTCTGTTTCTTGTAATTCGCAGCAAACAAACACAACATACATGTTAGATTTGGTTGTTGAGTACAAAAAAAAAAAAAAAAAAACAGTACAAGGTATTGAAGAAGAAACCAAATATTGTCTTCATTGGAACTCTCTTCTTTTTCTTTTTTTTAAAATTTTTATCATTGGAACTCTTTTTATCTGTGCTTGATCACTGTTTATTTATTTATATTGTTTTCATACACTCAGCGAAAATTGAGCAAATTGAAAGTGTTCAATTAACATGAATATATGTGTTTGTCATGGTTTCCTTTGGTCTTGCGTTTATGTTTAAATGCCATTTGGTGCTTTTTATTGATGTATATTAATGGGATCTCAATATGACATTTTGGGAAAGTGTTTGAAGGGTGATGGAGCACAATCTGCTGAAGAGAAGTAGACATTTCAAGTAAATGAGACACCTCAATTTTAATGAAGAATCTGGTTCTGAACTATACACTCTGACTGCCTAAAGTTGGGATGGGTGCATGCATCTTAAGGTTTTCTCTCTCCCGACTTCAGGGGAGATTGTGGTGCTCTAAATTAGATAATGCAGTTAATACATGTCCTAAATTAGATTAGCGTCACCTTTTGGCTGTTGGCCTATATTTTCAGCTATAAACTCATGCTCATGCTTAGCAAGAAAGGACAAAATAAATAAAATAATTCATATTTTTGTGAATAGTTTTTTGCACCTATAACTTTTTTCTCCATTTTTATATTTTTAAAATTTTTGGGTTACACTTATAAAATTTTAGAGGAAACTAGAAAGGGACCTAATTTTTCAGATTGAATGAAACAATGAAGTGTACGGCTAGTTTTCTAAATATGCTAACTTCATGATCTTGTGATGACAAAAATTAATGTTTGTCATCGACCCGTCAAGCCATATGAGAAGTCACACAAGAAATGAAAAAAATTAGTGAAATATTTAAATGATATATAACAGCCCTCCATCCATATTTATTTAATTTGATGGAATTTGGAGTTCCCTACTGTCTGAAATTA